CCCCCAGGCTCACCACAGTCGTCCCTTCCCTTCCTCTGTCTTGGGCCCCCATCCCAGTGTCTGACACCGACACTCCCACTACATTGAGGCCCCACCTAGATTCACAGAGCAAGGGAGCAGGAGGAGGGTCAGAGGGGTGGGTGGGCGGAGGATCCTGTTTCCAGGTCCATGTTTACCCAGCCCTCCCGAGTCCACTTTCTCACGCAACGGACTTGAGGGTCTGGTTACTGCACCTGTGCCCAGAGGAGCCCAGGCCTCAGGGAGACCAGGAGGCTCGCACCACGACTCCCCTTGGGCCCCAGGTGCCTCTCCTCTTGGCATCGAATGTCCACACTGCACAGAACCACTGCTGGGGTTGTCTGTAGCGGAGGCACTGAAATCGTCCTGTTACTGTTTGTGTTTCCTGGGCATCTCTGGTGCCAGCAGCATGCTGGGCGCTCCTGCCCTCTGGGAGCTCACAGTCCACACGGGGAGGCAGACAGCCCAGAGAGAAGCAGCCTCATGGAAGCATGTCCTCTGGAGGCACTGAACCCACGTTGTGTCTGGAGACTACACGCGAGCATTTAAACCCCAGACGGGAAGCACCTGAAACGTCTCTCATAACTAAATAAACCGCAATATATTCATTCAGCGGGACACTCCGCAGCAGGCGCTGACAAACGTGTTCCGTAAAGGGCCAGACAGTAAATATTTCATGCTTTGGGGGCCATATGGTCTCTATTGCAAAAACTCAGCTCCGCCCACGTAGGGCGACAGCAGTCATAGATGATCTACCAACGACTACGCGTGGCTCTGTTCCAATAAAACTTTATTTATGGACATGGAAATGTGAATATAGTATCATATTCACATGTCATGAAATAGTCTTCTTTTGATTTTTTTTACCCCCAACCATTAGAAAATCTAAAAACCATTCATAACTCACGGGCCTTACGAAAAGGCCGTGGGCTGGTTGCAGGCCACAGAGTGCGGTCCTCAACCCCTGGTCTTTAGCAACGAAAACAAACAAACTTCAGCCACGCCATCCACCGGATATAGCTTCAAAAACATAACATTGAATGAAAGAGGCAGGTCACAAAAGGAGATACACGGTATCGTTCTGATTGTATGCACAAAGGCCAGAACCAGGCGAGGCTGTATCGCAGGACAGTGAAGGGGAGAGGGGTGCTTGGGGGTACAGGGGCTCTGGGGCACTGGAATGTTCTCTCTCCTGACCCGGGTGGTAGTCACACAGGACTTTGTTTCATAAAATGTATTGTACTTTTCTGTGCGCGCATTATATTTCACAATTTAAAAAGAGAAAGCAGTGACAATAGGACCCATAGGAACGGCATCCGGACCCCTGCCGGCCAGACGTTTAAAATCCACCCAGAATTATAACCCAGGGGGAGCCGGCCTCTCCAGTCAGACGGAACCTCTCGCCCCCGCTCCCGCCCGCCGGCCTCCAGCCTTCATCCCCGC